GGAAACCCAATGCTCTGTCTTTGATATTTATGTCAGCAGCATCTTAAGCTATGGTGCAGAAATATGGGGGTTTCACAAAGCTCCTGATATAGAGAGAGTTCATTTGAATTTCTGCAAAAAAGTCCTTAGAGTATGTAAATCTACATTCAATGATTTAGTTTATTGTGAATTGGGTAGACTACCATTAATTGTTACAAGAAAGCTAAAAGTATTCAAATATTGGTTGAAGTTGACGAAATCTGATAATTTGATATTAAAAACTTGTTATGATGAATGTGTCAACGTGAATGATCCGTGGATTTGTAACATTAAGAATGAATTAACTGCCCTAGGTCTTGGTTATATTTTTGAATCGAATCTACCATTGGTAAACACTTTTGAAATTATTGAACACAGATTGAAAGATGTTACTAAGCAAAATATGTTGGCAAAGATAGCAGCTTCATCAAAAGGTAGACTATATCAATATCTTATAGACAGTCATAGTATTCAGTTTTATCTCCGTAAACATATTGAAACAAAATACAAATATATGTTAACTAAATTTAGAACGTCGTCTCATCAACTGAATATCGAAAAGGGTAGACACAATAATATCATTCGCAGAAATAGAAACTGTAGCAAATGTGATTTGGGAGACGTCGAGGACGAATTTCATTTCATTTTTGTATGTCCTTTTTATAATGATTTGAGGTTAAAGTATATAAAGAAGTATTATTATAAGAGTCCCTCTGTTTACAAACTTGTCCAACTTTTATCTGTAAATAATGTCAAAGAGTTGTCAAATCTAGGTAAATATTTATATCTAGCCACTAAGCGGCGAAATTGATTAATTAGCTACACGTATTTATAATTTTTGTGCTTTTGTATTATGTTCTTTGTTTAGTTTGCACTTGTATGCTTATAGTCACTCTCCTATAACATATATACATGTACAATGTATCATGATTGCTTTGTACCTATAAGTCTTAAGACTTTTGGTGAATAAAGAACTTGAACTTGAACTTGGTGTGTTTGAGTAAGATGCCGCGATTAGCGATCATAAAGCTACTTACATTTCTATGAAATACTCGTACAATCGCAAGTGTGCCAAAAGAGGCCTGTATAGAATTATGGAAATACAGATTTTGTTACTCCTTATAACCTTCTTTACGATATTAATTGGCAAACAACTCTCTAGCTGAGACACAGAGCTGCACAAATACAGACAAACGTACATTGCTGTTGTCTAATCGTGCAGGGAAATGGTCACCTTGTCATATTTCCTATCCTACCTCGGACTGCTATCACGTGGGTGGCAAACCATTGTATTGTGGAACATGGGATTGAAGAACTACGCCTTACTTAGAAGGTGGGGAAGTTTTATTGTGAAGAGAATCATCTGACTGGGTCTCTTAACTTCTGTTATTGTTTCGAATTTTCTGGGCCACCCACTTGTTTGAGTGTTGTCTGGTCTCCTCTGTTGTCTCTTAAGAAGCTCTTTACGTAGCAAACGTTCCTTTCAAATCTAGAAGAACAAATCTATTTTTTCTACCTTTTTATAAGATTCATAACATATAAGTTCCAGGTCATCTTTATTATTTGCTTCCCTTTAAAGAAAATATCCTCATCACTGTCTTCGTAAACCAGTTAACTATCAAATGGCAAGATGTATATTAGATGTGTTCAATAGTCATTTATCCACTCTCCAATAAGCTTATGGAAAGGACTTGGGAATTATGTACAAATTATTTTATACACATTTGCTTAAGAAAGTATTATCTATGCCAGGCGTTTTACTAGCATATTTAAATGCCGGAAACCGACCGATATATTTCAGTCCTTTTAGCAAGAACATAACTGTAGTGATCTTAAAGGTGACATTTTTCGCGTTGGTATTTGTCACTGTGGTGATGGTAATTAAGATACGTATCTTAAAATGTACGAATAGTAGAATGAGTAAATATCCTTGTGACCGTTGGAATTTGTCACTGTGGTGATGGTAATTAAGATACGTATCTTAAAATGTACGAATAGTAGAATGAGTAAATATCCTTGTGACCGTTGGTATTTGTCACTGTGGTGATGGGAAGTAAGATACGGATCTTAAAATGTACGAATAGTAGAATGAGTAAATATCCTTGTGACCGTTGGTATTTGTCACTGTGGTGATGGGAATTAAGATACGTATCTTCAAATGTACGAATAGTAGGATGAGTAAATACCCTTGTGACCGTTGGTATTTGTCACTGTGGTGCTGGTAATTAAGATACGTATCTTCAAATGTACGAATAGTAGGATGAGTAAATACCCTTGTGACCGTTGGTATTTGTCACTGTGGTGATGGGAATTAAGATACGTATCTTCAAATGTACGAATAGGAGAATGATTAAATACCCTTGTGACCGTTGGTATTTGTCACTGTGGTGCTGGTAATTAAGATACGTATCTTCAAATGTACGAATAGTAGAATGATTAAATACCCTTGTGACCGTTGGTATTTGTCACTGTGGTGATGGTAAGTAAGATACGTATCTTAAAATGTACGAATAGTAGAATGAGTAAATATCCTTGTGACCGTTGGTATACAGCCTGATCCTGACCACCCATTCCAAACCAATATCGATATCATTCTCGCTATAAAGTCTTACATTAAATCCACAAAAGGTTTGAAACAATTTAGTGGACACCTAATGCAACCAGGACATCTCTCTTCTCATCCCCAATGTCACCTATTCCCTCACTCTTTTACTTCTTTTCTTATTTTACATACCAAGTATTAGGTACTTAATATATGTTAAACGTTTGGTCATCACGTGATATTTGTACTATTTGATATTAATGGGAGAGATCGTAGTAAGTTGTAATCTGCTTTGACTGTTTAGTGTCAATAAAATATAAAGGTCAGTAAGCCGCGTCTTTGTTATGAAATATAATATAAATGTCAATCATATCCCACTTTGCTTTGATATACAATGTACACGATGTTTATATATAACAATAACAACATCGTTACATGTATATCAAAAACTAAGCAAATTAACTGAGTGTTAATCATCTGTATGATGCATCTACTTAACTTAATACTTGAACAAGTGGCATGTCTACTGAGCTTATTGCATTGTTACTAGGTGCATGTCTACTTAATTTAATATATTGTAACTAGTGGCATGTCTACTTAATTTAACACAGTGTAACTTGTGGCATGTCTACTTAATTTAATATATTGTAACTAGTGGCATGTCTATTTAATTTAACACATTGTAACTAGTGGCATGTCTATTTAATTAAACACATTGTAACTTGTGGCATGTCTACTTAATTTAACACAGTGTAACTTGTGGCATGTCTTCTTAATTTAACACATTGTAAATAGTGGCATGTCTATTTTATTAAGTAGACATGCCCCAAGTTACAAAATATTATATTAGGTAGACATGCCACAAGTTAAAATGTGTTAAATTAAATCGACATGCCACTAGTTCCAATTTATTAAATTAAGTAGACACGCCACAAGTTACACTGTTTTAAATTAAGTAGACATGCCACACATTGTAACTTGTGGCATTTCTACTTAATTTAACACATTGTAACTAGTGGCATGTCTATTTAATTTAACACAGTGTAACCTGTGGCATGTCTACTTGATTTAATATAATGTAACTAGTGGCATGTCTACTTAATTTAACACAGTGTAACTTGTGGCATGTCTACTTAATTTAATATATTGTAACTAGTGGCATGTCTATTTTATTTAACACATTGTAAGTAGTGGCATGTCTATTTAATTTAACACATTGTAAGTAGTGGCATGTCTTTTTAATTTAACACATTGTAAGTAGTGGCATGTCTACTTAATTTAATACATTGTAACTAGTGGCATGGCTATTTAATTTAACACATTGTAAGTAGTGGCATGTCTATTTAATTTAACACATTGTAAGTAGTGGCATGTCTACTTAATTTGATACATTGTAACTAGTGGCATGTCTACTTAGCGTAAAACATTGTAACTAGTTGCATGTCTGATTAACCTAATGCATTGTTAATAGTGACATGTCTTCTTCACTTAATACTTTGTAACTAGTGGCATGTCTACTTAGCTTAATACTTCGTAACTAGTGTCATGTTTACTTAGCTTAATACATTGTAACTAGTTACAGGTCTATTTAACTTAATGCATTGTAACTAGTGACATGTCTACTAAAGTTAATGCATTGTAACTAATTGAATATACAATGTATACTATATGTACATTGTATGTTTATAGGCATTCCTATTCAACTTTATACATTCATCTCTGACTAATAAAATAATCGTTCTTTTTTACGAGTTTTGTCCCTTATCTTCATTTTGAACTTTTATTCTGTCCTTTTTTCAGCGGCATCGTCATCAGTGCTGCATTCTTTGTCAGTGCCTGAAAGTTCACTTTGCTTCTTGTATGAACACCCAGATGTCTGTAGTGTTGTCTGATACTAGTTTGCACACCATGATTTTTGTACACGCCTATCCACCATGTGTACTTCCGGTGATGAACATCGAAGTTGAGACTCTCGTAATATGGTTTCAGATACAAAATCTGTTATGACTAAGACCTTCACCGGTAGGTTGCTGGTGACCTACCAACATTCATGAGAACATCGTTTGGTTCTGTTTTTCGTACTTTATTGTTACATTTTATTTTTTTGTGACACTGTGGTAGATATTTCTGTTTTGCGGTATGTTTTATGATACAACTATGATATATATAGTAGCACTAAACGTCCAATTTTCTGGCATAACCGCCTTCCAATAGGTATAAAAAGGCATTCCGCGTTAATATTTTTGAAAGATATCTACAGTTTGTTTCTTTTTATTTTTCGATTTTTCCCCATCTTAATTTTTAAACCATAAACATTTTACTAGTTGATCGCAAGAAAACAAAATAACCAAGAAGTATGTATGTATACTGAAGTATATCTGATTTTTGCAGGCAAACATCACGTAGACAGGAAGGATCAATACACAGGTGAAGCATTACATGTCTACAGCCCGACTAATTATCGTGATTGGAATTGTTACCATGGAAACTGCTCTTTCATTGATATACTCCTTCCATCATATCATAACCTGTCCAAACATATACTCTCTGTGTCGGACGAGGTCATTTGGAAAGCATCGACTAATCCAAAGAGGAACACTCTTTGATGGCTTTAAGGTAGGTGTTATTATAGTAGTACAGATTAGTGTTTAGCAGAACCTCCATTATTTGTTTGTAAATATGGTATGTACAAGGTACTCATTCGGGCTGAAATGAAAATGATCGTCCTGTTGATCTCTATGTATGTCTGACGCGTAAGTATACATATATAGGTACACTGTACTTTCAGTAACGTAATATGTTATCATACTGCACATTGTTTCGTCCAAACAAAGAAGAGAAATTAATTTGTTCTTGATGTATAACATGGCCTATCCTAACACTGATCTTCGTAGTCCACAATTTCAATTGTACGACACCGTTGTCAAAGAATGAAACACAAAGGTATCACATGTACCTATACATTTGATTTATGAAATGCATTGAAAAATATTTTTATGAAAAAAATAATGCATGGACTTTACAGGTTTTACTGCTATAACTATGTTTGGTCTTTTCGTTTGTATTTTTATAAAATCACTTAGTACACATTGATTTAACAATACTATTTGTATAACGTTGAACATTTGTTGATAGGACGTAATACTGTTGAATATTTAATACACCATGTTTTCAATTTATTACTTAAATGTTCAGAAAACAAATCATCATAATTTATTATCGTACGATGTTCAGTACACACTGTTAAATATATACAGCGGGACATGTGTTTCACATCACTGACTTGTTTTCTTTCACAGGTACAAATAATGGTATGTGCGATGTCAAAGCTACATGCGGACCAACATGAACATGTGTCACCTACCAGTCAGCATTGTAGGTAAGTACACATATCTTGGAGTATGTTCACCTTGCCTCAATGATAAAGATTAAGTGACACTTCCCATTGTCTTCGTACAATAGATCATTCACGTAGATACGATATGTATCTGACATAGCGGTACATTGGTACAGACAATGTCACTTCAAGAGTTCCTATTGTATCGGTGTCTCAGTCATCGATGAAGCAGGAGAACCTTTCCCTTCTGGAACACTTGATCTTATTATTTTTTTGCCTTTTCAATGGTCTCTATGCAAATCGTTCCATTGCTCATTTTCCCCCTGGTTTTATCGATTTTATTTTTTATTTTTTTATTTTTTATAAATGCAAAGTGTCCGTCCATTGGTACATGTGATTGCATACTTATATATATATATATAGATATTGTGGGCTTTGCTGGCACACAAATTTGATAAGTGGGGAAAACTACAGGTATTTAAAAAGAAAATCTAAAATAATCGAAATATTACAGAATTAGGATAAGTGAATGATGTATATATATATATCTATTGATTACTTTCTTCTGTATAACGTGCAAGTACTATTTCCAATTCATTAAACATTGGCAGCATTACTAAATATCCCGTGGGTTTGCGTTCCACGTGTACAGTCTGGTCGCATGTTAATACTATCAGACAAAATTACATTTTTCACGCGCCACGCGTACCAACAAGCTTTCTCCAATGTAAAAGAATAACGACTGGGAACTATTACTTTTATGTTACAATAGCAAAAGACTTTTGCTTTGCTTTTTTGGTGGAAAAAAGGTGTTCTTACAACAAAATGGCTATCAAAGTATTGGTCAAGTGTAGCATAATATGATATAACCCATGTCTTGATAAAATGCATAATTAAGGAAACCCATAAAGTCAAACCACAATAGAAGACAATCGGAAATCAAAATCAATACTAAAAGACAACAGCAGGAACCTTGCTTTGATACACACAGGAAATCAGCTAGGTGACATCGACAGATAACTAGCTTTGAAACATTTTAAATCGGTGATAGCAACATGAAACTAGCTAGGTGATATCAACATGAACTTAAGGACAAAAAGATAGACAAATACTTACCAAAAAGCTAAAGCCAGTCATATTCATATCATGTAAGTAATTTGTATTCATTCATTATGCATGTATCTGAGGAAAATCCAGTTTTCATCCATCTGATTTCATAATACCTGTACGGACAATAATAAACATAAAAATTTTCACAACAATCCAAAGTGTTTAAGGATGCTCAACCCTTTTGCAATTAACCAGAAGAGTTCATTGAAACTTTCACATAATGGTTATGCAACTTTGAAAAGGTGATTATAGTGGGTTTTTTTAAGTGTGTGGCGTTGCTTGGAACAATCATAGCAATAACAAATGAAAACAAAACTTTTAAACCTTCAAATATTTTATTTATCACAAAATATGTTATTTATCACAAAATATATAAAACACGTAACACAAAGTGTTTTTTATTGAAATTATATGGATTAAAGTGATTCTCTACGAGCTTAAAGCAGCAAAAAGGTAATGTCATCGACCTTGTAAATTAGTGAAAGCACGTGAAATGTACATCAGTCCATTTTCATACGCTTCATATATGACCTTCTTGACGTCGTCTGGTCTAATGTCAGTGTGTTCCCTTGAGTCAATATATGTCTTTGTATATATGAAGACAACTCTCATCGGAATCAAAGTGGTAACAAAATGAAAAATAAATGAATTATAAAGTCATTGTTTATATTTTGTTCAATTTTTCACTCTTTACGTATAAAACTATGCGTCCTATCTGCTTTTAGCTTGTAGATAATCGCTTTTATCCATACCATTTTAGTACAAATTCTTTTTGTAACGTTTTTTTTATATATTTCGTTATTAATAAAATATTTGTAGGGTTAATTGACGATGCTTCCGTTCAATTTTTTTATCGTTATTATTGTTCCGAACAATTCCACACATCAAAAAATATGAAAAATATTAAAATTGACAAAACCTCAATTTTTTGGGGTATTTTTCCAAAAATAATCCCCAGTCTACTCAGAATGTTTAGATTTTTATCACTCATCTTTACATTGTTGCATAATCATTATGTGAAAGTTTCATCGTATTCTTCCGGTTATTTGTGAAAGGATGGTGCTTCCTTAAGACAGATACTGGTGCAGATTTTCTCAAAAATGCAAAAATGACAGCATTATTTTTTTAATATGTGCATTAATATGATATTTATTTTTATCAGACATGTAGAGGTATAGATCTAAGATAAAAGTTAGAAAAGAAAAGGCTTACCCAGCTGGAAACATGGTAAGGTGTGGGGTTTTTTTCAGTTTAATATTTCATCTTTGTGTTTTGATTTTTGGGTTCGGATGTTGTCGGATATATAACTCTGCGAGGCAATCCATCCTCTTATTGTGTTTTCATCTTGTCGTTTATGTTATTTATGTAAGTGTTTATGTTTGTCTTGGCAACAGGACAGGTGATAAATATGTTCTAGCTGTCTTTATTACGTCCAAAAATTTAAAGGATTTTTTAACAAATACGTATCAACTACCCATATTGGACCATAGTGTCGTCATAACCCGTTAGACTTCCTATGTATGTATTTCTTTTTTTTATTAACTCGTTATTCTTTTCACTGTTTGCAGCACTCTATTCACTGTTCCGGATGGTGTCCTGCTTCACATATGAACAAGGTAAGTCGTTTTGCAGATTATATTTTTAATTTAAGTGCATATAAGTTCACTTGGTAATAAGTAAAGGCTTAACCCAATGTTTCGATGTTTGTACCACATAAAATACTCGAAAAGGTATAATAATTCGCAAAGACACGCGGAAAATAGCAAAGGTTCAGAAAGTGTTAGTCCCCTATTGAATTTTTTAAGGTTACATGGTTATGGCAAAGTTGTGATAAAAATACGAAAAAAGGAAATAGCATCGCAGATACTTTTATCACTGTTCGGACATGGGACAATATATTTTATCTTATTTATATAATATCGTTTAATAAAGTGAAGCAAACCGTCAAAAATAAAACAATAAACCGAAGCGTCACTAATGCATCTTAAACCATAGCTTCATTTTTACATAAATATATCAGAAAGCTTACACTGTCAATATATGTCGGCGAATCACTCACACAAGTAAAACCACAGCGTCACTTATATTACAAAATAGCGTTATTAATGCAAAAAGTATGCCACAGCGTTGGTACTTATGAAAATACGTTAGCGTACACATAGTATCATCTGTTTAAAAAATGTCACAGCATCACTTTTACATAAACAAGAGCATATTGAAGTATCAACAAAACTATGATACGAACTCAAAATCGATAGAACTACATTTAGATATGAACAAAGGATAAATTAACACTGAGACCCTTGAAAAAGTCAAAAAATAATAATAAGACCAGGTGTTCCGGAAGGGTAAGCGTCTTCTCCTTCATTGACGACAACCGCCAAGTCTTAAGCACGTCATGTCATGTCTTCACTGAAATAACTCGGGCAGTGACAACAAATCCACAAGGCTCACCAATAATCATAATAACAAAAATAATCTGCATGTCACACGAATAAACATATACTGGATGTTAGTTACAAAGAACATTATACAACAGTTTAAATATTCATAACTGATAAATGCACAATATAAAAAGCTTTGCATGTTTTTTAAAACAAATATACAATCGCGATTACTAAATACACCGAAGAGTCAAAAACTCAAAAAGACAATAATATATGTTAAAAGACTATTCAAATATTCCTTTTTATCATGTTTTGCATCATTAAGCCGTGTCAAACACTCAAACATTATTTTACCTTGTGACGTAGACTAAAAGATATAAAAGTTTCGTTTTATGTTCATAAGGTTTTATAATGAAAATTATAAGATTTCTTAAATTCACCAATCACATGATTTTGAATGTACACTGTATGTTAAAAGATTTAATATCAACCACCAACTACAAGACTTTTCGAATCGGAATAAAAAAATATATCCTTATACCTCACAAGATCCGGGTTGTTCACTACAACACTTCAAATATGAGAATTAAATCTCAAATATTAATTACATATTTGAATACGAATCACAAGTTTTATAATATAAACCCTGCAAGTTAGAACACAAATAACACAATTAAGAATGCAATGTAATCAAAAGATTAAAAAACATATAATTATCAAAAGGTGACTGCAATGTTTGTTACAACACATATCATTGGGAAATCCATTTGAATATACTATGTCATACGGTCATGTCATAAATATGGTATTACATACGTGTAATAAAACCTAAAGATGAAGCGATTGGTCAAACCATGGGAACATATTCCTATGCTACAAGAGGTACTACTTATATTGACTATAATAAATGATACATTTAATGCTACTTTAAATATATTTGGAATGCCAGTTTGGTTAGTAAATTCATTGCATTTGAAACTGTTCATCATTTAAAGAAAATCTGTAACTACTGTGCACTGCGCGGAACGACAATACTGTGATTGGAACACCTTGTTCTTTCACCTTTATAGAGTCATTTGAAAAAGAAACACAACCATCTGATACATATAATTGTGTTTTTTTTTCAAACTATAAACGTTATGTGATAAATAGAATTATACATACGTGTCCATATTATATTGAATTAGTAAATCTCTTATTGGCTTGTGTCAGGTTAACTTGTAACTCGTTTATGACATTTAGTATTATATAAACACTCATGTAAGCTCCTCTATGTAATACACATTTAAATATTTCAGACGTACCTGACACTAACGGCAAACTATTCTTTTATGTAACTCCCTTGTGCTCGGACAATGCTAAACCTATCCTGTTCATCGTCCCTCAGTCATCCCGATCCTGTTTTGCAACCATAGCAACGCCCTTCAACGTCACAAACGTTCGTTTCAACAACGGTTTGTCTCGCAGATTCTCGGTGGATTGTGTGGAACCCAAATGGAACAGTCTTGGTGAAATTGGTAAAGCCTAACGATTTCAAACTCTTAGAATTACACAACAATTTTCCGTGTGAATGTATTCTATTTTAATATTTGTCTCTTTTTGTTTCAAATAATTGATAAACATATTAAGTAATCATTCATCATAATGAAAGAAAATTTTATGTTTCGACGTCAAGACGTTGATAGACAAAATTGTATCTAACTGTAAGAAATATGTAAGGTTTAAAATACTTACTCATTTCTACAGGAGGCCAAATCCGGTCGACTTGTGAATTAACAGTCTACGTGGAGTACAGTAATGACAATTACCTCGTCCATCCTCTGGATATCGCTGGGAACAAGTACACTGTCGCAGTTCCTGCTGACTTCACGTCTTGGGAGTGTTTCATCGCCATATTCCCAGTACGTAACGCAACCAACGTCACCGTCATGGCGGAAGCGCCGACAACTGATTACGTCCTGATCGACGACAGTAGCTGGACCAAATACGACTCCAAGTACAAGATGATGGTTACCCTCTACGAATTTGAAACAATTTATATCAAGTGTGCTTGTAGTTTGTCTGGTGTAGAAATCATATCACCAAATGCCTTCTTGGTTGTTGCTGGCGCCATACCAATACATCCTAGCCCTCGAGCAATTCTTATTGAACAACTTTCGTCGGAAACTACATGGGGTCGACAGTTCTTGTTTCCAATGCCAACTCTTGTTAACATCACAGCGACATTGTATATATTTGGTATGTATCTGCTAATTCACATTTTTGTTTCTTTATAAATGTAATATCGTTTAATTTTTTTGTGTGTATTTACTTATTTATAAAATTGTTTTATCGCTTCGAATTTACCATCTCTTTTAACTAAAGCATCTTGATCGAACATATTTATGTATCAAATATGTATTGATTTTGTCATAAATTGAAGTAAATACAATGTAACATAACTTCTATAAATATCAATTTTTATGTTTATTTTTCTCATAACTATGTATATCTGAGTTTAATGATGATATGTTAATTACGGATTATACAACATGGATGCTCTGTGTGTACTGATAAATCATTTCCGGCTATGATTTAACTGGCAATATTATGTTCGATACAATACATAATCTGTCATGTAGATGAATTATAAATACACATTTTGTTGTTTGTTACAGGTAAAAACAATACAGCTGGTCTGTTTGTTAATACTGATCGTGTTAACCCTAGTTTTGTGTCTATATCATCATTCCCCCACATCCTGGAGATCGAAGCAGATGAATACATCCACGTTATATCACCCAACTCGTCCGTCTTACCCATGGTGCTGATGGAAACTTTGAATAATGACAGAGACGTCAGATTCATGTACATGACCCTACCACCAGTGTCACAGTGTCTTCCGAGACATCGATTCAACGACGACAGAGGAAACCGAAGTATGGCGATGTCTCTTTGGGGTACATTCGGATACAACTACCTGATTAATTCGCAGAACCTTACAAAGACAGCACAAGTCACGAATTTTACTCATGACAACATATACCTTTATACAAATTTTGAAAGTTATCTTAGTTTTGAGATAATACCGAAACGACATACAACATTATTTCCGTCTGTCTGTGGTATTGTTGAAATTGCACGTAGAAAACAATATCATCTTTATTCACTTGGAATGCGGCAAACGAATGTATTCGATTCATGCGTCATTTCCGGCAAACTGACATTTACAGCAGCAGATGGAAATGATAACGACTGCGATGGTTTGGTGGACGAGGAACTCAGAAATAAGCGTGACGATGATGGAGATGGTTTAATCGACGAAGATGTTGGCTCGTGGACGAACGTTAGACGACAGGTTGATGGCGAGGAGGCATTGGTGATGGAGGGGGCCTTAGTTGCCGTCATCATTTCTATCGTAGTGGCGTTGTTTGCCGTAATAGCCTTTATAGGAGGGATGGTTGTGGCCGACCAGCTGCTGGGCGGAAACAGTGTAGCACCCGTTCTGGATAGTCCAGATTTACAGTAAATCTCAGGTAGAATATCAACTGGTTCAAACGTATTAGTATTACAATATCTGCACAGATATAAATGTTCTCTCTTAGGGAGTGGATACTTAAGTTGAATCTCAGTATTATAGCATATCGGATAGAAAGTAAGATCCATTGTTATTGCACCATCTAAACTCGAGAATCATAGATCGCACAACATCTCCTACAGAATATATCAACATGTATGTTTATCAGGTTTACTACATGTACCAGTGCTAAAGATCTATAAATTACACAGAGCTCGATAAAAACATACTAACACTATAATAATAATCCAATTTTACATTAGTATCAAGTCTTTACATTAAATATAACACATTAATGATGCATGTTACGTTTTCTTACAAATGATGAAAAATAATATCTTTCACTAGAATTCTTTTTCTTTTATGGTCGAATGTGAATATATAATTACTTGTAATTAAAATCACGGAAATAGCACGTGGTTACGTCATAAAACAAGGTGCGCTTATTCACATATCTCTTTTTTCACAACACACACTCACACACTTTTTACCCATCTTTTCTAATTTCAAATATCAATTGCTTACGGCAAAACAATAGTTTGTGATAAACACTACTTTTGTCATTGATATGACACATGATGACACATGTTTGTTACATAGGAAAAACGGATCCTTCCAAAACATTTACATTTTCACTGGTGTGTTGTATAAATGACACACGACAAACAAAAATGTTTCTCAATTACATTCTACCAACAAATATTTTACACTACATTCAACCCACAAAGACATCAAAAACAAAACAAATACATGTACCAGCATTTAGCCTAAACACAACAAACACTTATTTTTCATCTTAATACACAAACAACAAATATACTTAAAACTAACAAATTACCAACACATACATGTATATGCCAGGTTAACACACAGCTAAAAGATACATTATAAATTAACACAAAATCAACACTGGTATTTTACACTAACACACAACTAACAGATAAAGTCATTATCGACATGCAAAAACAAACATATGTTACACTAACAAACTACCAAACACTGTATCGGACACGTATACACAAACTACAAGTGTATTTTACAGTAACACGTGAGACGGAACTGGACATAATGTAATATTAACTAACACACAACAACCACACATATTTCATATTTACACTCCACAAACACATTTATTTCATACTAACACACAACAAACACATTATTTCATACTAACAGACAACAAACCCATTCATTGTATACTAACACTAAAAAAAAATATGTTTTATTTTAACACACACCAAACACATTTATTTCGTACTTAAACACAACAAATACATTATTATTCGCGCCACACATGGCTTGCAATTTTATTTCAATTATATAACAGTAGTATTTCTTTTGTACTTTGTCATGCAACAAATATTTCAAAATTAATTATGATTATTGTTATCCTTTTGTAAGCAATAACACGGCCATGTTATATACCCTAGATGGAATGTTATCCAACTGCCCTATGTGTCCGTTCTAGGAATGGCGTGTCTAGATGCGATACTAACAGTTTTACATTACTCAGCAAATGTCCCCAACGATACCAGTCTGGCCTGAAGTATTGTGATTTTTATGTTTTGACAATCGACGTCCGGAAAAAAGTAATGTATTAAGGAATTCAGGCATTTTTCCTTTGAACTTTCAATTTTAACATTTATTAGAAAATATTTTAACTGTAATAAATGTATTCGTCGGGGATAATATCATTTTATGATATATCACATACCTTCCTTAAAAAACAGTACGTGTCATTAATACATTTTTGTTTCAGGCATTTGATGAAAGGTTAAATCCCATCAACACAAAAACAGAACAGGTGTTTAGAATTTTATTTGTGCGTAATGTTTTGCATAAACATTATGTTAAATGGTGAAGAATCACTAGCAACTTCATTCATTTCATTTTTAAAAGCACATTTTGAAAAATATTTTAGGAATTTAAAGAACTCAAATAAGAATTCATTACTTATCGAAAATATACATGATATGTATCGAAACTAATAAGGTTATTGCCACTGTTTTAATGGACACATGCTCATTACATAGGGGTATTATATATCGTATTACACGTATATGAAATTATGCAACATCGTATTATGTTATATCAATGGAATCTGTACATCTATATGAACTTGATCTCGCTTCTGTTTGCATGGTCCCAAATGCCACGAGAAATCATTACTTAGAACGAGGCAATAACGTATAAGTGTGCGTGATTTTTCTTTGAACTGTTTGGACATGTATCCTACATTAACATTGAATACATCCTTAACTATACTTGACTCTAGTTAGAACTCTTTTGGGAAGGATAGATACATGCATCCTATATTTACATTGAAAACATACTTAACTGTACTTGACTCTAAGTAGAACTATATTTGGAAGGATAGATGCATGCATCCTATATTTACATTGAATACATCCTTAACTGTACTTGACTCTAAATAGAACTATATTTGGAAGGATAGATAAATTGTACAGGCATCCTATATTTACATTGAACACATCCTTAACTGTACTTGACTCTAAGTAGAGCTATATTTGGAAGGATAAATACATGCACCCTATATTTACATTGAAAACATCCTCAACTATACCTGACTCTAAGCAGAACTCTTTTGGGAAGGATAGATACATGCATCCTATATTTACATTGAACACATCTTTTACTGTACTTGACTCTAAGTAGAACTATATTTGGAAGGATAGATAAATTGTACATGCATCCTATATTTACATTGAACACATCTTTAACTGTACTTGAATCTTGGTGGAACTCTTTTGGGAAGGATAGATACCTGCATCCTATATTTACATTGAAAACATACTTAACTGTACTTGACTCTAAGTAGAGCTATATTTGGAAGGATAAATACATGCACCCTATATTTACATTGAAAACATCCTTAACTATACCTGACTCTAAGTAGAACTCTTTTTGGAAGGATAGATACATGCATCCTATATTTACATTGAAATCACCCTTAACTGTACCTGACTCGGGGTAGAACTCCTTCGGGAAGGAAAGTAAAACAAACTAGTATCCAACTTTTACACCGGATACACCCTTAACTGTACCTGACTCGGGTAAACTCTTTTTTAAATGAGGGTATCTCAGTGAACGAAGCATACATCCTTAAATGTACTTGGTTTAGGTGAAACACAGTTTAGATGAAGAGTGCTTTACAGCAATGCAATTAATATCCTTCAGTTTTTGTGACTTCGGCAGATATCTCTGCTGCATAATAAGCATTTTTTCAGTTTTATTTGTACTGTACATAAAACTTCTGTACCGGTGATATATTGTTTTTATTAAGAAGATGGTTTCTATTATGTTTTGTTATCATGTAAAATCTTTATAATATTTTTTACCTTAAAACTCAAATATGGATTGTACACTGTTTATGACATTTCTATGCTTCTTCTCCAGAAGTATCAGTTCATCATACTTAATTTTCTTTATTTGGCTGATTTAGACCTAATATTTGTTTTATTTCTTGTTTGTTTCGACCCCCTATGATGGATCGTGTACTTTTGAATGTGGCGTTATTACGTTTGATACTACGCTTGGAATTACTTTAATCCAATTTCCTGAGAATGGTCTTTTATTTTAATACAAAAGCATTATACATAATGTTATATGCAAAAAGTATGTGTTTTTATGAACTTTATATGTATAATGATGAAGCGTGTAATTGGTTGATTGCATGGTCTGATGAAATTATTGACCCTCAAGATTACTCTTTTAATATATTTATTCATAGTTCACTTTATTTAAACGACGCTCCGTTCTTATCAGGAACGGACCGAATCCTTGAATATATGTAAGTCAGTGTAACGCCTTATGACAAATTAAACTTATTATGTTTTCGTATAATTCTATATAAACTTTGTGTGCCGAGAGATTATGTAATAAGATGTGAAAGGTATTCAAATTATTCCATCCATTATTTCAAATGAGCGACGCTTAAATGATGCATATTGACTTGTACAAGTGACCGTACAGTTTGTACACAGTAACAAGGTGTCAAGACAAATTTATTCAATACAGTTTAATATTATGATCTTAAATCGTTATTATTTAGAATTAAAATGGTTCAAAACATTGTTGTATTCACGTGTTTGTATTTATCAAATTTGAGGTTTCTCTTGTGAAACTAATTTCTATTATAAATATTTACCACAGTCATTATAATGCATATTTCAACCTTACTTGGCTCTTTTCATACGTAAAATAAAGAGACCCCCCTCCCTGCAGAGCCCTGGAAAACACCACCAAAGAGACGGCAGTATCCACGCACGTGGTCTACCACGGGGCCATGCTACCCACTTCATAATTCCAATGACTGTGGTGAGTACTTATAATAGAAATTGGTTTCACAAGAGTAACCTCAATTTGTTATCAGAATACGTTACCACAGTCATTATAATGCGAATTCGACTTACTATTGTACCACAGTGATGTCTCCGTGGAGCGATGAATGGTTCCAACTAACAGGACCCATTCCCCCAGAGGAAGAATTCATAATATCTTTAACTTTGTGACCAGAGCCTGATTATGACCAGCATTCCTGATCACGCAGATAAGACATAAGAGGCTCGGGCATAAGAAGAGGGAGGACAGACGACGGAGTGGGCAGTCAAAGGAGGACCTAAAGAATACAACCCGTCAGACTGTCCCGACAAAGATTAGAAATAAAACTCCGTAAATGTAGAATGACCCCTCCAAACAGCAGCTGACATGACCTCAGCGTAAGAAGAACTATTAAACGAGGCCCACGAAGCACCTAAGGCTCTGATCACCAGCCGACTCATACGCAGACTGAAAAGTCCGTGCTGGAGAGACTGTAACAGCCGAGATTGGTGTCCCAAACCAGGCAAAGAGACCGGAACACCGAACGCTTGAGGTGTCGGCCAGAGCATTCAGGGTTCAGCTCAGAAGGGCCTTCCGAGTCCAAACCATACGATTCGTATGACTTCGAATCAGAGAATTCCCCGGCTTAATCCCCATCC